GCAAATGCGGTTCGCCCGAGCAGTGCTTGATAGTCACTGCAGAAAGGGGCAATTTCAAAGATTAACTCTTCGGTACGGTAATTTTTTGGTGACCTGAAGATTACCTCGAGGGAAATGGAGCCTGTACAGCTGACCTCCATATCTGGTATTATGTCTCTAAAAGTGGCCTTAATCACTAACTGATCGATGCCCATCTTGCGCACTGCATCCTGGTAAAGCAGATTTAAACTGCTACCTCCGTCCATAAGGACTCGAGTGAGGTGGAACCTGTCTACTATTAGGTCGAGGATTAGTGTGGCTGGATTTCCCCAGTTGGCTTTAACCGGACGATCCGTGTTGTTGAAGGTGACCGGCCCTAGCTTATATCAAGTAGGCCAGTTGGGTGGTATTTACCACATTCACCGATTGAGTATGGGGGGGGGGTTTCTTTTGCCCTCCTGTGTTCGAAAATCTAGGCTCTTCGTTGCTATCGTCGTTTTGAGACCCCTCTTTGTGTTTTGGCGCATGCCTTGCCGGCTTGTTTGAAGACCTAGCATTCTCTGTTGGTATGGGTGGCTGGCGTTTCTGGGGTGCCATGAATTTGGCATTGGCGAGCGAGTATGCGGTTCAGACTGGATGGACCCGGATTTGTATTTTTGTGGGGGCCTTTCCGCTGACCGGGCTATGAGACCCTGAACCCGGCATTAATTGTCGTATTATTGGTTTTATCACCGTATTTGCGGCACTTGTGTTTGTTGCGTCGTGATTTGCCGTTGGCATCTTTGTTATCTGGAGTGCCCGGATTCCTGGATGTGTTGTTGCTGCGAGCCAGCCAGCTATCCTCGCCCGCGCAAAAACGGGTCATGAGTGCCGTGAGGGCTGCCATAGACTTCGGCTTCTCCTGGCCGAGATGTCGGGCAAGCCACTCGTCGCGGATGTTATGCTTGAATGCCGCTAAGGCTTCTGCATCCGGACAGTCGACAATTTGTTTTTTCTTTGTTAGGAATCATGTCCAGAATTGCCTGGCCGATTCCCCGGGGTGCTGAGTTATATGGCTGAAGTCATCAGCATCCGGTGGTCGCACATAAGTGCCCTGGAAGTTGTCAATGAATGCGTCTTTCAGATCCTCCCAACTGCCGACGGAGTCTGCTGGCAAGCTCTTCAGCCAATGCCGAGCTGGTCCTTTGAGTTTTAGTGGGAGGTAGTTGATGGCATGTAGATCATCACCGCGAGCCATGTGGATTTGAAGGAGGAAATCCTCAAGCCATACAACGGGATCTATTGTACCATCATATGATTCGATATTTACGGGTTTGAATCCCTCTGGGAATTCTTGATCCATAACTTCATCCGTGAAGCATAGGGGGTGTGCGGTGCCTCTGTGCCGGGCATTATCACGACGCAGTTCATATGAGTCTTGTCTGCTGTATTTGGCCCGGCCGGATTTACCTTTGGTGTATCCGGCGCGACGATCATCGTCCCGTGTTGGCGCACGCGCCCGTGACCCGTATATTGACCTTGCGAGTTTTGCCCTGCTGTCCCATACGTCTCACAGGTCACGTGTGTTGCCCCATGCCTTGGTATTTTTGATTGAGTGGCGGCAGGGTGCAGGCTGAACTTCAGGATGAAATGCCTCTTTGACTTGGCCACGCGGTGGCCGGTCAGCCGCATCGTACACTGGTGATGGAGGTTTCAATGCTTCCTTCTCGAGGTGAGGTAGCAACCTGCGTTTTGGGTAACTCTTGGAGGGGCACTCGAGTTCGTATTCCTCCGCCGCAAGGATTTTGGTCCATCTGTCTGCTAGCAAGTCTTTGTCAGCTTGAAGCTATTGTTGCTTTTTCTTCAGGCTATTTGCTGTGGCCATAAGCCGGCGCTTGAAGTGCTCCTGCTTGATGGGGTCCTCAGGCACGATAAATTCTTCGTCGCCGAGGCTCACCTCGTCTTCGGAGAGAGGAATGTAATTGTCCTCCTCCGGTTCTCCATCTGCTGCCTGCTCTAGAGGGCTAGCTTGTTCGTCCTCCGGATCTACATCGTGCCAGAGGGGACTATGGTTGCACTACAGGGAAAACGGTCTATTGCAATGAATTTTTTTGTTGCAATAAGTAACAAACTGTTGCAATACGTATCTATCGCAACAAAGTAGAAATTGTTGCCAAGCGTCGCAATAAACTCCGTGGCAATAGGATAATGCAACATTTTTTGGTATCGTGGCAACATGGAATGTTATCGCGACGATTTTTCTCGTGGCATTTGAATTATATTGCCACGAGCCCCGCCGTTGCGGCACACACATATGGCCACAAAATACTCTTTGTGGCAATAACCTAGCACAACGAATGAGATTTCGTGGCAAGACCCTCTCGCAGCGACATAATTTTGTGGCAACACACTTGTTGCAACGACCAAGGATTTGTAGCAAAAACTTATTGCAACATGCAAATTTTGTGGTGATACATTATCGCAACAGGCAGGTTTCGTGGCAATATATTTTTGCGACGGGTGTAATTCCATGGTGATAACCTATTGCATGTATTATATATTACACTAATAATGATCCAAGCACCATTTACAAGTACAGAACAATGCTCACATGTTGATAATGGTAGAAGAAAATCATGAGTACATGTCCAAAGCATTCATTCATTCATTAACAAGTTCAAGAATAAAACATCCAAGTCAGATACATGTTCTACAAAGTCTGAAAGGAAATCTAAATATTCAAACAAACAAGATACATATGACTTCATCTAGTCAACAAGAATTTTTCAAGACATCACTTTTCTTCACTTCACGTAGAAAAACCGTCCTACAAGGCGCCTCCTAAACTGGTAATAAATCTTGTTGGGATCTTTCTTCTTCATTTAGAGAAAACCATCCTATAAGGCTAAAACAAAATTTGAAGCTTATACTTAGTTAAGACAGTAAAGACAATACACAATAAAAATGATTATAAATAAGGGTTGATGATTCTACATGGGATGGATTCCATATTTATAATCCATATCAAGAATGTACTGTAATATTTATTCAGTAACACTTCTGACATATTACTATGGCTACTTCTGTACAGTCATTTAGCAAGAAAAGATAGGTGTTGTTTACACAGATACAAGGTCTATAAATAGATGATTAGTGAGCAGCGAATACAAAAGTTTCTATTCTAACATGAATGACCGAATTTCAATGAAATACATCAGGTTTCCTCGTTGAGGGCATTCACAAAAGGAGATATTTGCCTCTTTTTATTTGTGGCACATAAACATTAATATCTCAAAGTAGGCAGAGAACTAAAGGGTTGATCATGCTACTTGAGAAACTAATCATGCCTTTTTTCTATGTAAACATACTAATGAAAAGCAGAATGGGTAATCTGTACACCAATGCATGGATAACATGAGTTCCACCAGTTTATACTTGGCATGTAATCTGCTGGTTGTTCCACGTGTAGGCTATTGCACGTATAGAAGAAAAGGTTGGCATGCTTATTATGTTTCTCAACTTAGTATTTCACTTAATAATTAACATGTGTGGTAGAAACACATGCAAACCAAGGCACAAGTTTTTCTTTGTTTTACTTGCATTTTGCTGAATCAACTTTTTTCTTCTCCTCTTCATGACTGATCATGTAGTAAAAGTCTAAAAATTATCCTATCAGTGATGTATCACTTGATATGAGTTTACCCAAAAATGTAGCATGTTGCTGAAATCTATTTTCTCCAGCCTAGTATAAGTTTAGAAGTTGTTTACTGGGGCTGCACTAGTGTGGTGGTTGCCTTCGAGGTACAGATTCTTTTTTGCCTTGTCTTTTGTGTTGTGTTCAGTTTCAGATGGTATAGTTTGGCATGTACATGCTTCAATGGAAACTAGATCTCATAATTTTGTCAAATACCTTATCACTTGGAGGACGACGATGGTGTTTAGCTGCTTGCATAAGCTGGTGTTGAGTAATCATGCTCGAATTTTTAAACAGAGAACTTGACCGATTTCCAGTTCCATTTCTTGGAGCGTCCCTTGCTTGGGAAAACTGCATTGAATGGATAACTCACAAGATTTACTTTTCTCCATAGAACATAATTGTACTAAATTGAACACTTTTGTATTACCTGATGTGCGTCTTCCTGTCGAGTTCCCAATATCTGCTCAACATCCGACCTCATTGATTGCCTAACCTCATTCATAATATCATGCATCATTGCTTTCTTAGCCTCCTCAAGTTCTCTCTGCCTTGCTACGCGTTCCTCCTCAAGCTGTTTTTCCCTGGCAACTCGCTCTTCTTCTCGTTCTCTTTGCCTCTCTGCCTGTTGTTCAACAATTTGCCTCCTTAAGTCATGAACCTTGAGGGTTAGCTCAGCATTTTGCCTCTGAATTTCAGAATGTAGTCTTTCAGAACCGCTAGGCGGCTTAGCCATGTATCCTCGGCCACGAGGCTTCAATGATGTACTTTCCATAGTAGATCTGTAGCTATTCTGGAAAATATTGTTTTGCTCTTCACTTGAAATTGGACCACCAATATCTCCTTCTTTCTCCCTAATCTGGCTGCGTTCATTGTCCTACACCACATAAAGATAGCATACTTAAGTTGTTAAGAATGTTAGTATGATATTGCACAACATAAGTAATGTAACAAGCTAGATTTCTTTGTTTGAAAATGTTTCTCACATAAACAGTCTGTGATTCTTCATTAGACCATGATCCATTTCGTGTATGAGTGATCTGCCAAAGTTGTAGAATAGTTGGTTCCATCCCAGTCTCCTCGTCCCTCTACAAGTATGGAGATATGTCAAATAGAGAACCTTGAAATTTGACCGTACAAAGGTGCATTACATCTAATCTTTTGAGTACCTTCTCATAGCTAATCTGTGAGTACGATTTTGAACCAGCTATATGCCTCGCCTTTTGCTTCTGGCAATTTTCCGTATTTTTTCGGCTAAGCTCCTGCCACACACAATATAATGAGAGGCATGTTGTAACTAATACAGTTTACTTACTACACCTAAGAGGCATGTTGTAACTAATACAATTTACTTACTACACCTAGTAATGTACACAGAAGTAACCTGGAATTTTAAATCAGTGCCAAAATAATTGATCATATAATCCCACTCCTCTGGAGTTACATCCTTGGGTTTATTGGCCCTTCTTTGAGCATCAGTACTGTATGCTTTGTATGTTAAATGCAAAGTTGACCGCCATCCTCTGTAGCGCTCTCTAGCAATTGTTAGTATTTTTCCCTTCGTAGAATATGTGTCCTCCAAATCCCACTTAGCCTAAAATGGAATGATGACAGGAGTCTGTTATTTATAAATAGATATTGGAGAGGCTATGAAAAATGCTGAAGTACAAACTTATACTTACAATGACATCAGCAATGATTGAATCCTTCACAGAAGAATCAATGGCAGACCACTTGTTCACACCAATGAATGGTGCCTTCCTTTTCATGTAAACCACCACGTCATCCACAAACATGCGATAGTTCTCTCCGATAGAACCTCCCAATGTTTTGGAAAATTCAATGTGAAGCTTTGAGGAACCATTGGCGAATCGCTTCTTGGCGACCTTGATTCCTTTGAGGACACCGCGCCCCTTCTTCTTTTGACCACCACTTTCTGTCGATTAAAATCCCAGAAAAGCAACTCTGTTTTTAAATTGCCATGCAGTCATAAGGAGCGAAGTCAACAGTAATGCTGGAAATTGTACCTATATCCGCTTCTGTACGACGTCGGCGTGCGTGCGACAGCCAATTGGACTGGTCTGTGGGGCTTTCCATAGCGTTACTTTGTTATACAATATTTGTCATGTCATTTGCTGGATTCAACCCATTGTACAATTAATTGATCAAGTAGTATATATTTGAGGTTAGGCTGTGGATAAGAACTATGTCTATGTATAACATGTACCTGATGTTGGTTGTCTGCTCTGCTGATTCTTGTACGCAATGATGGTATCGTCCCTTCACGATGATACAGAGCCTCTTGTCACTGTATCAAAAAATATATATACTTCTCAACAATATTGTACCCATGCTAGCTACAAATGTAGTGGCTGGGTATTTGTATTATTGTTAGTACGCTCCTATGAGAAGGTTTTGGTCACAAGAGCTAGAAAAGATATTTCAAAGTTACAATAATGGCATACTCAAACATGATTGTAGAACTATGAATTATGAGAATATTTCAAGCTAGTACATACCCCTTCGTGTTTGAGTGTTGTCTCGCCCTGAGGATAAAGTTGGAGCCCCATTCAGATAATTTGATGTATCAATTCCTGCATGCATTTTCACAAAGTGTGATGGCAAATTTATTATGTAGTTCTTAACTCGTACTTACTTTTGTAGTTCTTACAAATTTATTATGTTTGCTCCTGGGAACCAAATGCAAGATGTAGTGGGGATGGACATAGTATTTGTGATCATGAGACAATAATCAAGAAATTGAGGGTTGAGAGGCCATCATTTAAGGAAAAGTACATATTGCTAGGGGCTTACAAAATTAGTTGTTTGCAATTGCTAAAGTAAATGTACATAGTTCAGATTACCAGATTCTTGCTGAGTAGTTTGTCGATTCTGGTGTGCCAAGATGGTATCTTCTCTTGATGCCATTGCATATCCTAAACAAATGCATGACAAAAGGTAGGAAGGGGATAATCAATTAAGAAAAAGATGGTAGTAAAAATAGCAACATGTCTAAACAATGCAATGTGTAAAAATAGAGTTATGATATTGAAATTTCTCATCACATTAACATAATATAACACCAAGTAACAGGGACAGATCTGTTTCTCTCTATATTATAGAAAACTTAATCCTAATGTTCTACACAAAAAACTCATCATCATGAGATTCGTCGAGTACTAAATGAGGAACATGGCCATGATTTATATATGTCTCATCATCATCATAGCTATCACTATCAGAGTCAAGCTCATCATCTCCGGGATCAACTTCGGGTATCTTCAGAATATCTGAAGCATCACCACTCGCACCTTCCATGCCAGATCTAGACCAACTTTCGACATCCCCTTCTATGTCTGGCACATTTGTATCTCCAACTACAATATCAAATAAGTCAGCATCAGCTCCGGTTCCATCGTCATCATTTCCTACGGATGGCATGGCATATAGGTCTCGCGGCTTCAATCTAACAATAGAAGCCCATTTTATCTTCTTGACATCTCTCACATAGAACACTTGTTCTGCTTGAATGCCTAGTATGTAGGGATCATCCCTATATCGAAGTCGGGTAGTATCTACATCGATATAGCCATAATCATCCTTCTTGTAGCCCGTGCTTTGATTTTTATTGGCAGAGGGCAGATCAAACCAGTCACATTGAAATAGCACTACCTCCTTTTCCGAGGGAAAATCTACACAAATAATTTTCTTGATCACACCAAACCAATCAAGGTTGCCAGATCGAGCATCACCCCTAACAACAACACCGCTGTTTTGGGTATTCAAATCTCTTTCTACACTATCATTTCTATATAAAAACCCATTGATGAAGGTGCGATTATAAACACAAGCTCGAGGGTCAGGTCCTCTAGATAGGGCATACAAAAGATCATTGACTTTCCCTTCTTTGTGAAGTGCCTGGATCTGTATTAACACGTGCAAATTATTAGAAAAATCCACAACTATTTTTTTAACACGAGCATAAGTAATTACTATGTACTATGTTCTTACACGCCTCTCGAACCAATCTACAAACTCGTCTCTGTGCCATTTCTGGACACCGCGAGCACTAGCCCTTGTAAGCTCATCCAGATGCTCACTATAACAAAAGTGTTGAGTAGGTTCAGAATAGTGCACATGTACCATGAAGAAAAAATAAAAACATCCTTACTCTGTCCATGAGTTGGATTCCTCGCAGTTTGTTATTATGTAGTGCCTAATTTGCTTCATCTCTGCCTTAGAAAGTGTTTCAAATGTGAAACCTTTCTTTGAATGATCAATTGTGCCCAATACACTAAGTCCAGCTGGTCCTTCATCTCTAGCTGCAGCTTCATGACGCTCTGGCCGGTTAAGCTTGGTATCAATGTTAAACGGCTACAAAATGTTAGACACTCTTCAGCTATGTAACCCTCGGCAATTGAACCTTCTGGGTGAGCTTTGTTCCGCACATATCCTTTAAGTGTGTGCAAATATCTTTCCACGAGATACATGCATCGGTAAGCAACAGGTCCGCCTAATCGAGCTTCTTCAGCAAGGTGAATAGGAAGGTGCATCATGATATCAAAAAACTAGGGTGGAAGGATCATCTCAAGTCGACAGAGAGTTTCTGGAATTGTACGACTCAACTTTGCTAGCTCTTCAGGATTTAATTCCTTGGAATAAATCGCAACAAAGAATAGGCTTAGCTCGAGGAATGGGAGAACAAATTTCTTGGGCAGTATATTGCGTACCCAAATGGGAAGAAGTTTCTGAAAGAGGACATGGCAGTCATGAGTTTTGAGCCCAGACACCTTACAACCTTCGAGGTCCACACATCTTTTTAGGTTTGATGCATAACCATCGGGCATCCTTACACCATGCAAAAACTTGCATAGCATTTTCTTCTCATCCTTGGTCAAATTATAGCAAGCTAGATTTAAAGTATACTTTCCATTACTGACATTTGGATGCAGATCCTTCCTTATCTTTAAGTGCTGCAAATCAAGACGGGCCTTCAGAGTATCCTTTCATTTACCATCCATATCAAGCAGTGTCCCTAAAAAGTTGTCACAGATGTTCTTCTCAATGTGCATTACATCCAAATTATGCCTAATAAGCAAGTTCTTCCAATAAGGGAGATCAAAAAATATACTCTTCTTCCTCCAATTATGCCACTTATTATCATCATCATGCTTCCCCTTTCTAGTTTTCCCAAAGGTTTCCTGCTCAAAACTTGCATGTTGTTGTACCACGTCATTGCCCAAGAGTGGCACCGGAGCATCTGTATTTTCTGTCTCGTTATTGAAGCAACTCTTGTTTCTACGCCACTTGTGGTCACGACTTAGAAAACGGCGATGACCCATGTAACAGTACTTGCGCCCATATTTCAACCATAAATGGTCTGTGTGCATGTGGCAATATGGTCATGCTAGTTTTCCTTTTGTGCTCCAACCAGATAGCATTGCATAAGCTGGGAAATCATTAATTGTCCACATGAGGGCTGCATGCATTTGAAGTTTCGTCTTCGTTGTGGCATCATATGTGTCAACACCAACATACCATAGATCTTTGAGTTCATCTATCAAAGGCTCTAGATATACATCGATGTTATTTCCTGGTGATTTTTTTCCAGGAATTATCATCGACATTAACCAATATGGTTGTTTCAAACACAACCAAGGAGGCAAGTTATATGGAATTAGAATCATTGGCCAACAAGAGTATGACACATTCATTATCCCATATGGGTTGAACCCATCAAATGCAAGCCCAAGCCTTACATTCCGTGCATCCGAAGAGAATCCTTTAGAATAAATGTTATCAAAATGCTTCCATGCCATAGAATCTACAGGGTGCCGCATTATACCATCATCCACACGGTCGTCCTTATGCCATCTCATATATGATGATGTAGCCTCGGTCATAAATAGACGTTGTAGCCGTGGAGTGAGTGGGAAATATCTTAGAACTTTACGGGCCACTTGCTTCTTCCCTTTATGGTTTGTCCTCTCGACATCTGATTCATCAGTGGCAGCAGCTTTCCATCTACATTCCTTACAAGTCGGACAGTAATCCATGTCAGCATACTCTTTCCGGAATAGCACACAATCATTAATGCAAGCATGTATCTTTTGGTAGTCAAGCCCAAGATCCCGGATTATCTTTTGAACTTTCTCGAGAGAATTTGTAATACAATGACCTTTTGGAAGCGCTTCTATGAACAATTGAAGTACTGCCTCACATGCCCTATTGCTCAACCCAAACAAGCACTTTATCGGGTAGAGTCTCACAATGAAAGAAAGCTTTGTGAGCTCCTTGCAACCAGGGTACAACTCCTTTTTAGCATCCTTCAACAAAGCAAAGAAAGCCTTGGCACATCCACCTGCCTCTTCGTTACTTCTACCTTTTGCAGACCCTTCTGGGATATTACCATCATCATGCAACATCTCTTCACTAGTACCTTCACCTGTGGTTTTGCTACTTTCTGGCTCGGTGCTACGTATGAGAGTGTTGAGCAAATCATGAACTGCAAAGTCATCACCTCTCACCCCTTCACCTTCAGATCCTTCAGCTGTACTTTCTTCATCTGAATCTCTCCATGGTATTTCCAGCAAGTATAACTGGGATCCATCCCATTCATGAGCAGGTCAAGGTGTACTTCGTCCCTTTCCTTGTAAATAGCATTGAGACATCTTCTACATGGGCATAAAGCGGTTGATCTTCCAGGACTACCATCAAAAGCCAAATCTAAAAATTCCTTAATGCCACTCTGCCACTCCGCGGAATCCCT